TATTATAATACGCTTACTCAAAGAATTCGATGTTGATATTTTGCAGAGCGGTGTCACACTTGTCGATACCCCCGGTATCGGAGAGGATGATAAGATGGACGACATTACAATGAATTACGTCAAAAACACACATGCATCTGGCTTCCTCTACATCATCAAAACAGATTCTGCTGGTGGTGTCCAAGAGGACAGAGTGAGTATGAAGCATTACATTTAAAATAAATAAAATCATTTTTATAAAAATGAGATCTGTACACAGTGCAACGAAGACACGCCGTTGGATTTCGTGAAGCAATGAGATTCAAAAAGTTATTTTAAATCTGGCAAAACCGGTCCTTGTTTTACTGCATTGTGTGAATATTAAGACCAGTGTTTGGCGGATGTTTAGTCTATCGTTTACACTTTCTATTACAATCTTCAGGATTATCAGCGTCGAATTTTGTATAAAAGTTGAAAAACAAGAAGTAAACAATTCAGTTTTCACCCCCTAAATGTAAAAAAAAAAAATAGTTTCTCATTTGATGCTGGGATGAAATACATTCATATTTTGTTTCAGTTGATGGATTTTCTGCGGGCAGTTCGCTCTAAGTACACAACAGGCTCTATGAAGGAGTCATTCGACCCCAAAGCTGCAATGTTTGTCTGTCATCGGTGGGACACCATCAGTGATGAAGCGAAAGAAAAGGTCAAAGCAAGCGCCATCAATAACCTTGAGTTTTGTTGGCCAGGGTTCGATCCCTCACAGTTGTTCTTCTTCTCCACAATGGACACTCTGAAACATCTCTCTGTCGGTAAATATTGTAAAAGTACATCTTTGAAATTTGAAATCGGTTTATTAGAGTCCATAGGCCTACTGATTAAAAATAGATAAAAATAGCTATTTCTTGATACATATATGCTTTTATTTGCTTTTTTTTAAAACCGTATTGAAACATTTTTACTAGATTTCATTACAAAAGATTTTCAGTATTATCGTTTACCTGTTTGTGAATTGGGCCTATATGTAAGAAAAAAAGAGACAACAAAGACGTTACTCTTAACTTTTCAAACACCCAAAATACGCACACGCACACACACACACACACACACACACACACACACACACACACACTCTCTCTCTCTCTCTGGGGGCTCCAGTGGCTAAGTGAGTAGTGAGTTTTGTCTCAAGCAATGTCAAGCAAGTGTCGGTGACACGAGGAT